GAGGAAGACAAAGTCCTAGAATTAAATCCAACCTTTACATTTTATTTTGTCGTTGCATCAACATTTGTTTGCACTCAACACAATTAAATTTGCCAAGACATTTCCATCCACTTTGCCACGACATATCCATTTGCTACCATACTACCACCATTCCATTTCCACAACATCCATCTCATTTTGCCACAGCATTCTCATTTATACATACCATCACTAACTTTACTTAGGTGATAGAGTAAAGTGCTTTGACCGAACCTATTAAATTTCCTCTAATCCCTGAGGAGATAATACTCACTTATCACTGTATTACTTGTTCGATTGTTTATACTTGTACATATTTTCGTACCCATATATAGTACTCATATCGAGCGGGCAATATGAGTAGAGACCCTCGTATTCCACGTTCAAGATCATATTATCCACGCGCACTTTTTATACTAGAGATTTGTTCAGATCTACCTCTACCCATATTCTTGTGAATCGACCCCTTGTAGACCAAGCAATATTCACGTCGATTTTCAGCGGGCTACCGATCAGTTTGTCGGTGGTACCAAGTATATATTCATCAAAGTATTCCATTGGGAGGCTAGGGATGTGGATCCAGGCTGCCGTCGAGGGGATGGTCGCGTTGGCAGCTTGAAAGTTCAGACGCCATTTTTTCACCGTGATGTATTGGTCCATAATCTTCCAAGGGTTTTCTGTCAAAGCTTCTAGTCTATATTCCGAGTTATGGAATTTAACTGCGTAGAAGCCATGACCGAGATCGATACATTCGAATTCCCCATCAAGATTATGTAGAAAAGTAATTGTGCTAACCAACGAATCAAAGCATGAGTCTAGACAAGCAAATCAAACTCAAACGGAAAATTAAGCATGAGGAAGTAGAGAAAGCATACATTTTTGTCTTTCCAAACTTCATACTGACGCTTAGCCATTATGGAATGTGTTGAGATGAAGGGTTACCAAGTTGGGATGACAAAAGTGAGGAATATTTGAAACTTGGTTTCGGACATTTCTTTTTGTAAATGAGAGGAAGAGAAAAAGAGGCGGTTCTAGGGTTCAAAATGAGCTGGTAAGAATGATGTGTTTTATGTGATTTTTAAGATTTTACTTTTTGTTCGCCACTTTTCCTTTTACACATAACCCTTTTTTTCTTTTCATCTTCTTTGAAAATTGATATTTGATCTCTCTTCTCTAATTTGTCATAATTTGGTCTCATTATTAGCAGGTCTAGATTGATAACATCTTTAATTATTTTCACTAAAGTAATGACATGTTTTTTAATTAATTTAGGGTGATTACAAGATAGTATATGTTCTAAAGAACTATTTGACAATGAACGTTGAACATCCTTGACACTTGTCAGTCTCTGTCTCTGGTGCTTGAACTGAGACCTCTAAAGATAACAACCATTCCTTTAACCACTAATCTTTTGCTTTACTTTTGTTGAATAAAAGCATGTGAACTAGATACCATGAAATTAGGATCAATTTCTTGAAAATAATCATTTTGGGTAGAAGCATGTTTGGTAGGATCGCTATTTAATAAAAGCATGCTCAGGTAGATATCATGATTGGGTAAGTGTTATATTTATTTTTAAATAGCATCTTTTAATTTTATTGATTATTTTACCCACACTAACTTATTTTGTATTAAAAAGGTTAGGACATAACCTCGAGATGAAATTTGTTTTATTCACTCACAAAAATATTTAAAACATTTCTTTGATGAAAACCAATCAATAGAAAACATCATTTGACAAATTAGTTTTCATTTGCAAAATAAATTTCTCTTAGCTATAGAAAGGTAATTAACGCCGCTATAGATCTGACCTATTTGTGATGTTTGTTCTAAAAAACGCCGTTATAGATCTGACCTTTTACGGCGTTTGTTCTAAAAACAAAACTATAGATCTGACCTTTTGCGGCTTTTATTCCAAAAATGCTGCTATAGATCTCAACCTATTGCGACGTTGTTCCAAAAACGCCGCTATAGATCTCGACCTATTGCGACGTTGTTCTAAAAACGCCGCTATAGATCTCGACCTATTGCGACGTTGGTTCCAAAAGAGCCGCTATAGATCTTGACCTATTGCGGCGTTTTTTATTCTCAAACGCCACTAACTTTAGCGACGCTGGTATAGCCGGTGCTTCTTGCGGCCTTTTTCACATCGCCGCAAGTACTTTTAGCGGTGCTTAAAAACGTCGCTATAGGAGTAAAAAAACGCCGCTAAAAGTCTATTTTGCAGTGAGTTTCATTGTTGGGGACTTCTTGATGAATTCTAACAACCGAAGATCCAAAACATATATTCACAGAAACGATTTATTGTACAGATGTGCTCGTTCTTGATAGTAATTTCATTGTATTCAAATGCATGGAATTTGTTTATTATTTCTTCACAGTGAAAATATGAAAGGAGTCGTATTCTCAAAATTCTTTTAAATTAACTTTAGTTTTGAAGATAAACAAAATAAGACTCGGTTCCTAATTTTTGAATTTGAGTGGTTTTTTAGGTCCTCTTAGTTTTGAGAGTAGCTGAATTAATCTCCGTATGACCATTTATCGGTCTAAATAGTTTACAAGTCCCTTTCAAATTTAAAATTAAACCATCATTTCTTTATTTTTATTTTTAAATTTATAAATTAACAATTAAAGTCTAATTATGGAAATATATATCCGCTCTCCAACAATTATTCCAATAATTACATATTGGATTTGCAAATATACAAATATAGGTTTCGTGCTTGTTTGAGTAATAATAATGAGATTCCCCAAAATATCATCATGCTAAGAATGGCTAAAAGATTTGAAAAAAGGAATACAGAAAATTTGAGAGAATTGAAGCCGAAGAGAAGATTTCTCACTTTTTTCTCTTATTCAAAACTGTGCATCAAACTTTTCTCTCACCCGACTGCAAAGTGATAAAAGCAAATGTGAAAGATAAAAAAAAACAATATCATTTAATTCGAGTTGGAACGCTCTAAAAGGAAACACTCGTATTAAAATAAAACCTCTTCTTAAGAGTTGTAATAGGGATTATATTCATATTTACAACCAAACTTGTAGTTGGTACGAACCAACACATTAAGAGGCGTACTAAAATGCTAGTTGCAAACTGAACAAGGGAGAACAAAGTACGAGATTAAAGCAAACAAAAATAATGTACAACTCTCCCCCTTTGGTTCAGGGTATAATTCATTCTTGAGAGGAATATTTTTTCCCCAAAGTAATATACCCAAGTTTGGATGGGTCACATTACCAAGTATCAATAAAAAATTAATACCAATAGTAATTTTGTCTCTCTTTCCCGGGAATATCTATCCCCCATCTTCCTTAGGGGGTGTTTGTTTCAAGGAATGTGGGATTCCCATGGGATGGGAATCCCACATTACCATGTTTGGTTGGCCGGGAATCTCATTCCCGGTAATGTTTTATTACCAATAGTAAATTTTTTGGGGTATATTACCGGGAATGTCATTACCTCCCTTCCCTTAGTTATTGTAACATTACCGGCGTTTTGGACTAAAATGCCCTTAAATTTTTATTTTTTTTTCAAAAATATCCTTCTTCTGTCATTGAATAATAAAAATTCTACGTAGGTTAAATTATAAATTTATCCTTAAATTATTTTAGATTTACAAAAAAAATCTATAATTAAAATTTTATATGAAGTTTAGGGGTTAAATTTTTTTTACCCTTTCATTAAACATTTTTTATATTTTTAATTTTGTAAAAAAATTATATAAATATTATGAATTTAATTTTTTAAAGAAAATATATAAATATTTTACAATTTGTAATATTATACAAATATATAATAAGGACAATTTGGTCAAATATACATTCCAATAATATTTTATTCCTTTGACCAAACACGGTAATCTTACATTCCTGCTAAACCAACCAAACACAAAATACAACATTCCCAGTAATCATATTCCTTGGTAATCTTTTATTCCCGCTGGTAATCTTACATTCCGTGAACCAAACGCACCCTTAAGGTATTTCATTATTCTCGTTTCTGTTGTCTAAAATAGCCTTCTCCCTCACTTCGTTCTGCTGAAATCTTCTTCTTCGCTGGTTATGGGTTTGTGTTCTCAAAATTAAAATTCCCAAAATTGAAATCCCTTTGCAAAGTCACTCGTTCCTTCCTAACGCTCCACTGCTCTAGCCTCCAGTTTTTGTTTTCTGTCTCTCTAAACAACGAGAATAGTAGGAACAACAGAGGCAGTGGATTCATCAGCCTCCAACAATAAGAAGAACCGTATCCAAGTCTCCAATACCCAAAAACCCACCTTCTTCTACTCTCGCCACGGTTCCTTCACTTTTTTTTCTTTCTAAATTTCTAACTCTCGGTGATTAATGAATAATATGAGACTTTGAGTTATGACTTTGGGTTTTCATTTGTTTTTTTCGTTCGAATTTTTGTTGTTGTTGTTGATCATGATGTGAAAATATTCAAAACAAATGGGAATTATATGAACAAAAAATGAATTAAATTAGTTTTTTTTTTTAGTTGTTTATACATTTATTTTTGCTCCCTTTTGGCAGAGATACATGCAACAATACAATGAGGTGGAACTCTCAGCTCTTGGAATGGGTATTCTTTCTTCGCTCTTCTTTCCACTTTCACTTGCTTGGTTTACTCATTATTGGAACTTTTTTATTCGGATGTTCTTTTCATTATTGAAGTGGCAGTTTGCTTTATTGCTCTCTGTATTTCTTATTAAATGTTATATGTTTAGCTTTTCAGAGATGGAATTGTCATCTAAATTGATAGCTTCAACCTTTGTGGCTAAAATATCATGAAGCTCGCAAAATGTTTTATTCTTGTTACCTTTCATGACTACTTCAATGTAATCAAAAGAACAAAGTGAAGATTAGTTTTACACCACTCGAGTTGAAATACAACACATTATCTTGACATACAAACATGTTATGTGTATATTTATGGAATGTGATTTATGATTGTGTTGCAATGCGGCTCTTGGTTTTGAATGTTGAGGAAAACATAACTGTTTCTTTCTCTTGTTTTTCTTTTAACTCGATTTCTATGTTGTCTGACAGCTATTGCTACTGTTGTTATTATTGCTGAGATATTAAAGAACAATGGGCTGGCCATAGAGAAAAGTGAGTCTTACCCGTAACAAAATATACATTTTAGCTTTCATCTCATTTTGATAACTCAAACTATATATCGTGATATATATGCATTATATCACAAAAATCGTGACTTCCAACATTGGCATGGGACAGGAATCAGGCGGACGACCTGTACAAAAAGCTAAAGTAAGTTGTAAGACTACTAAACCAATTAGATATATAATAAGGCCTCTGGTTATTGTGTAGTTGATATGAGAGAGGAATCAGGCAGACTACTAGTTTTGAGACATAAATTCTATTAATTGGTAGGTTAGGGATTAATATATAGTAAAATTCAGTTGTACTACTTTCGTCCATTTTTAATCATTTAACACTAACATTAATTCTCAGGTTCATTGAACTTTTCTTATTGTAATTTGCTATGTTGTAGATTGAAATACTGCTAAGGAAGTCAGATAACTTTGATGAGTTAATGGCAGCTGCTGCTGAGGAAGCCTTAGATAATGAGTAAAGCTAAGCTAGGAATAAGATTGTGAGTTTTGTTACTTTGATTGTGAGCATCTTCAATAATTCTGTTTTGTTTTCATGTGAGTGAAGCTTAGTCACTATGAAGAGATTTTAGGAATTTAGACCATCATTTTAACTGTGTTTCTTCTACAATTATGTCGATCTCTTTTTTATTACGACTTTAGAATATGATCCCAACTTTTTTGTGTAGCCTAGTTAGTCATATGTCAATCTTTGGACTTGAAGAATTATTTTTTTATATAATATAGCCAACATATATAATTAAATTTAGAATATCATGACTACTATCTTTTGTAAGTATGAACATTGTACAAACTTTTGATGATTAATGTTACACTTCTTTTTGTTATGTAGTATATGACTTGCAAGTAATGTGCTAATTTTCGAATATGTTAATTACTTTTTATAAAATTAAATATCATAGTGAAAGTTAAAAATCTCTAATATTGAACATGATATATTTTTATATAAAATATGTTGAATTAAAATTTTAATATATTTTTTAAATAAATTATGTAAAATTTAATATTAATTAAATTTAAAATAATACATAATATATTTAAATAATAAAATAATATATTATAGATGAATTTTTATATAAATATTTAAATATATTGTCGATAAATTTTTATATAAATAATTTTTATTTAAATAATTAAAATTTCACTTGTTAAAAAATATAGAACAATATCAATTTGATAAAATATACATTCAAGTAATCTTTTATTCCTTCAACCAAACATTATAATCTTAAATTACTGCCAAACAAACCAAACACATTAATGTAACATTCTTAGTAATATCTTAAGTAATGTTACATTTCGGTAATCATATTCCCACTAGTAATCTTATATTTCCACTGGTAATCTTATATTCAGTGAACCAAACAACCTTTAAAGATAACAACCATATCTGGTTTACTAGTTTTCAAGTCTTTACATATGCAATATTAAACCCCATAAACACAACAAAAAATAAATTGCAAAGTCGAAAACATACCAGACATGAAAAGAAATAGATCCAAAACATAAGTAGCCGTAGTGACAATGCTAAAAGATAGCACCGACAAATTACTCCATAATCTTGGGGCAGCAGCGAAGGGGTAGTTCTGCGGTGCGGCGCCTAAAAAACGGCTAATATACGGCGTGATCGGTTAAACAAGTGACCGGTTAAAATTTATACCGGTTATGTTATATTATTTAACCGGAAATATTATAAAGTACAATAACATACTAGGTAGCGTTTATATAATGTAATAGGTAGTGCTTATATTTACCTAATTTATAAGTAAACCGGTATATTTATACCGGTTATATTGCAAATTTACCTATTTTATTATAATATGTTGAAAGTGTCCATACTTTTTATAAAAAGGATCGATACTTCTTTTAAAGTTATGTAATTTATGTTTCAATTTTTTGAATAGTGTTTCATGTTTTCCACCTACAATATTAATTTAATAATTTCATTTGCACAAAAAATTATTTGATTATTTGATATTTTATAAAATATTATTTAGAATTTTTAATTTAATAATAATATATATCGTAACGTAAAAAATAAATCATTAGACGCCTATAATTACTAAATTAAAATCTTAAAACTCACTCAAAAGATAACCTTAAATTAATGTTTTCAACAGTGAAAAAAGTATGGACACTTTTATAAAAAGGATAGACACTTTACAATATAACCACTACCTATTACATTATATAAACGATACCTATTACATTATATAAGCGCTACCTATTACATCATATTTTTACCTATTATATTGAAAGTGTCCATACTTTTTATAAAAAGGATCGATACTTCTTTTAAAGTTATGTAATTTATGTTTCAATTTTTTTTAATAGTGTTTCATGTTTTCCACCTACAATATTAATTTAATAATTTCATTTGCACAAAAAATTATTTGATTTTTTGATATTTTATAAAATATTATTTAGAATTTTTAATTTAACAACATTAAATATATATCGTAACGTAAAAAATAAATCATTAGACGCCTATAATTACTAAATTAAAATCTTAAAACTCACTCAAAAGATAACCTTAAATTAATGTTTTCCACAGTGAAAAAAGTATGGACACTTTCATAAAAAGGATAGACACTTTACAATATAACCACTACCTATTACATTATATAAACGATACCTATTACATTATATAAGCGCTACCTATTACATCATATTTTTACCTATTATATTGAAAGTGTCCATACCTTTTATAAAAAGGATCGATACTTCTTTTAAAGTTATGTAATTTATGTTTCAATTTTTTTAATAGTGTTTCATGTTTTCCACCTACAATATTAATTTAATAATTTCATTTGCACAAAAAATTATTTGATTTTTTGATATTTTATAAAATATTATTTAGAATTTTTAATTTAACAACATTAACCAAAGATAATAATAAATATGTAATATATATGTTTATTGTTTTTAATTTAATAATAATATATACAACATCAAACACATTCCAAGCTATAAATTACAAGCTAAGGACACTTGAAGAAGCAAGAGAACAACTATCCAAGCAATCAAAAACGAGAAAATCCCAACATGATAACAACTGAACATATCATATCAATGTTTAAAATCAAGTTGTAGATTTTGATTTCCTTTTGCTTGGCATCATATGAGATTTGAATTTTGATTTCCTTTTGCTTGGCACCATATGAGCTTTGGATTTTGATGAGCATCGGAAGTATTTCAGACTTATGATTTGGGTGGTACTCAGAAGCATTTCGGACTTAGATTTTAGTTGCTATTTGTTTACCACCCAGATCATACGCCCGAAACGTTTCTGACGCTTTAAAGTTGACCAAAAAATACAATGGTCTGGATTTCCCTCGCGTTTAAACGTTAGAAAAAAACAATGGAAATTAGGAATAATCAATGATAACATGCATATTGGCTTGGGCTAATATTTATAGTGGAGCCGAAATATATATTGAAATTCAAACTCAAATTGAAATTTAAATTCAAACTCCAATTACATATGAAATGAATTTGAAATGCAGTGTTAAATTGAACATGAAAATTGCATAATTGATTCATACTGTTCAAGTAACATGCTTTATGAACCATCAAGCTAAAAGACAATATTGATTGAGTTCAAAGCTGAGTTGTGAGTTGATGGAGTTGTCACACTTGTCACATGGTTGGAATAAAGTAATTTGATGTAATAATTTTATTTGCACAAAAAATTATTTGATTGTTTTGATATTTTATAAAATAATATTTAGAATTTTTAATTTAATAATAATATATATCGTAACGTAAAAATAAATCATTAGACGCCTATAATTACTAAATTAATATCTTAAAACTCACTCAAAAGATAACCTTAAATTAATGTTTTCCACAGTGAAAAAAGTATGGACACTTTTATAAAAAGGATAGATACTTTACAATATATTATATAAGCGTTACCTATTACATTATATAAACGATACCTATTACATTATATACTTGTAGTTATTGTACATACCTAAATATGTACTGCGAATTTAATGTTGTACCCACCCTTTAACTACCACTACCAATGCCACATCATAGTGAAAGCAGCACGACTGAAACATATTCAAAATGAACCTTTTCTTACATCTCCATCAACTCCTGGAGCACTGAACTTGCACAACAAAATTTTTGCCATGGATAATACTGATGTAGACAATGTTAAGCCAACCGAGGAATGCCATGAAGTACATAATGTTGATGAATCTGACAGATTGGTTGGTCAGCTCTTCTGTTCACGTGATCAAGCTTGGCACTTTTACAAGGGATTCGCACGGGAACATGGGTTTAGTGCACGTAAGGGAACAACACGGCTTGACGTGGAAGGGGATGTGAAGACACAAGAATTTTGTTGTTCCAAAGAAGGGTTTCGAGTATCAAAAGTCAATACTGTTGATCGCCAACGTGCTCATACGCCAGTCACAAGAACAGGATGTAAGGCTAGAGTCGTAGTTACAGCAACAAATACAAACGATCAGTGGGTTATAAGTAAGTCTGATCAGAAACATAATCATGCATTGTGCACATCTGCTATGACACCATTTATGCGTTCTAATAGAGCTGTAAGTAAGGCTGATATCGATGAGGCAACAACATTGAAAGAGGTCGGTGTTGGCACGTCACAAGTAATGAACTATTTAACGCAGCAGGCAGGGGGCTATCATAATGTTGGATTTACACATAAAGACCTCTACAATGCACTTCAAAGAGGTAAAGCAAAGGAAATCGTCGATGGGGATGTGAATGCGCTTATTGCCTACTTTGATTATAAGAAACATGATGATCCCGGGTTTTTTATGACATACTCGGTAGACGAATCGGGGGCATTGTATAATCTTATTTGGTCGGATTCTACATCGAGATCGGATTACACATGCTTCGGTGATGTAATTGCGTTCGACACAACGTACAAAGATAATTTGTATGGTCGACCAATTATGCCTATTGTTGGTGTCAATCATCACCATAACACAATTGTGTTTGCCACTGCCATAATCGCTGACGAGACGTCTCAATCTTTCGAGTGGGTGCTACAGAATTTTTTAGAAGCCATGATGAATAAATCACCTATTTTTGTTGTAACCGATGGGGATAGGGCAATGCAGAGGGCTATCAAATATGTTATCCCTTATGCTAAGCACATATTATGTTCTTGGCATCTTTCTCGCAATGCACAAGCTAACATTGGTGACCCAAAGTTTACAGCAGCATTCTCAAAATGCATGGCTTCCTGGTGGACAACCAAGGAATTTGATATTCAATGGCGTTCGATTGTTTCAGAATTCAACGTCCACAAGCATCCATGGGTGATTGAGAAGGGAAATACACGACACTTATGGGCACAAGCATATCTAACCGGTCATTTCTTTGCCAATATTCACTCAACACAAAGGTGCGAGTCTATGAATGCTTCACTAGCTATTGCACTGAAACACAAGAAGACATATTTAGATGTTGTTCGTGCAATTGAAGATGGAATTAGTAGAATGCGTATGAACGAGTTGAAAGCGGATTACTTAAGTTCCCATACTAAGCCCTTCCAGATCACAAAACTGGTCGACCTTGAAAGCCATGCCGCTGCGATTTTTACCCGTGAATCTTTTCGTCTGTTCCAAGATGAACTTATACGGGAGACATTGTACCGGATTGAGGCAGAGATTAAGTCCTTATCAGATGAATGTCAACATTATATTTTGTCAAAGTACGCAGAAAAAAATAGGAAATTTGAAATTAGTTTTGATTCTCGTACGAAAACTCTAATTTGCTCCTGCAAAAAATTCGAGACCGTTGGACTTCCGTGTCGCCATCAACTTCACATTTTGAAGCAATTGGACTACACATATTTGCCCGGGACTTTGATTCAAAGTAGGTGGACTAATGATGCGAAGGCTTCTGCACCCAGCTATGTTGATTTGAATGTGTCTCCAGAAGTGATGCAAATGGCAAGGTTCGCTGCTCTACGTTCAACGTCAAGTAGGTTATGCTACATTGCATCAAAGACAGACGAGTCTTTCAAAACCGCAAGAGATGAGATGAAAAAACTAATAGAAGAATTAGAAAACTCGTTTGGTTTGAATTATTCAGTCAACCAGAGCATTGTAGTAAACAATGTTCGTGACCCTCAACGAAAACAACGCAAGCGAAAAGAAGTGCCGAAGAACAAGGTCGAGAAGAAAATTAGGCGATGTGGGTATTGCAACGGTGAGGGGCATAACAAACTAACATGTCCTCAAGTCAAGCTCAGTTTGAGTACAAGCACACAGCCTACATCAACTGATTTTTTCGAAGACGGAATGGAATGACAACGATCTCCATATAATATATCGTAAGTATCAACATGACTCCTATTGTATGTACATATAAATATTTTGAATGAAGGAAGAAAAACCGCGTTACTTAAAATTACCGACACTTTTTAAAATGGTATCGACACATTTTAGGTTGTAGACATATTCGCGCATAAAATCGGTATATTTATACCGGTTATATTACAAAATTATCTATTACATTATAATTATGGGTTCCGATGTGTAAATGTCGACACTTTTTTAAATCGTATCGACACATTTTTCTTC